GGGATTGTTTGGGCGTATCAGATAGATCTGCCATGTGATGACAGAGCGCTAGTCCATCTCGAATCGTACCATGAGATCTCGTCTTCATCCAACGGTACGCTAGCAATGCACTAGCGGGTCTGCATCTTGATCCAAATCGCAAAGGGTTGCAATGACCACGACCTTCTTGGCTCAGATGCCCGCATCCGCGCTGCCGTTATGCATGATGCAGGAAGCCATGGCCTTGAGTTTTATGATATAAGAGAGCTTCTCCATCACCAATGTTCGTCCCATATCTCCTCACTATTCACTCTTCCTCCTTCTCTCTTCCCTATCACTTCCACAAACATTAATCTACCATCTCCTCGTGCTACCTTCGACCATGGATCAACGCCATCTTCCTGATCCCTCCCAGTTCAGCCTTCAGGGCAGATGTGGGGGGACCCTAGAGTCTGTCATGTTTGCCGCTCATCCTTCCAAGGTGTAAGTTTTGCTCTGGACGAAAACACAGACTTGTCTGATTTGCGTAGTGAAACCAACCAGGGATTCCAATTGGCACCTATCAGGGAGCCTTTTTTCGAATCGCACACTGCTCCAGGCGGTGTAGCAATGTCAAGGCGCCCATCAGAGGCATCTTATATGTCCTCTGATTGTTCGGATTACAACCTGTCCAGGTCCGCATCGCCTATAAGTGGTTCTTTCCTTGAGTCTGGATACGACAGTACATCGCCAATCAATCGTATCGCGATGCGTTCGGCACATCGCAGCCCAGATCAGGCCATAGCTCGACCAGCAGCCAAGGCTGTTCGTGTAAAGCGGACCGACCGCAAGCACTTCTCCAGGCTCAGGAACGAAGCCAAAGGCACCTTGCCCAAGTTCACCAAGGAGCAAGGAGAGGCTGGCCGCCGTTACGACCACAGTGTCTATCTGGCACTCTTGCAGAGAGCAGGTTTGGACATCTGCCCTGATCTGCCTCAAGTGGCCGCTCAAGGCAAGAATCTCAAGCCTGGATGGAAGCCTCTTAAGAGCAACAACCGGTCTGAGGACGTTAAAGACACGAAGGATGAAAACGGAGAAACTATCCTACCCCTTGCCTATAACAAGGACAATATCTTTGCGTCATCCTATCAGATCATTATGGACTCCAATGATCTGATTGCTTCCAATTCTGCATGGCACCTCAACCTTGAAGCGGAAGCCCGATTGTTGACACAGCGGGAGCCAACCAAGGACGAGTTGATCGCTTGGGTCCGCAAAGTCCGCGACAGTGGATATGGATCTCGGATTGACATGGCGAGTCGGCGACGCGGTGCCGTCGGGTTCAAGTCTCCGTTTTCGCAAAGATGCAGATCAGTATTGTAGGAAGCGAAAATTCGTGCATATCTCAGCTACCTTGGTGCTGAACCGTCAGCAACTGTTTTTGCCTCGCTTGCTTTACTGTCGGCACTTGTCCAGCGATTTTTTATTACAAAAGTTTCCTCACAGCATTGGTGGTTTGGTTTGCGTTCATCACTGTAGACATACTGCTCTTATTCGAGCCTTTCTGTCATTTCCTCTTGTACACATACTGTCTGTCTCTCCTTTCGTCTCTGTTCTCTGTAATTGCACATTTTTCCCCCTGGAAACGTTTGCGCATCAACTGAAACGCTTCACGATGTACGTAACTGACGAGCATTGATACGACTGGTGTATTAGATATTTCCTAAGTCATGAATATTTGGGTAATTAGGGTAGGAGCGCACATAGTCTACATTTGCTGCTTCCACGCTTGAAAAGGTGCGAAGACGTAATCCTGACATTTGATTACTTCGCCTCCCATCTGCCTGTCCCCCCGTGACTCTTCCACATTGCGCGTTACTAGTCTTCCCTCTCAGAATCCTTTGACACTACTAGAGTAGGCCACCAGTCCTTTCTTCACAGACACCGGCTTTTCTCCCCATTCTCGCTTACGGGGCCGGCTTCTGATAGCCGCTGCAGAGCACGCTCCAAACGAGTACCGTACGGTAGCCGCGCGGCGGTAGCTCACACCTGCTAAGGCCACTGCCCACATCTATCTACACACTTCATACTCTACTCCGTATACGGGAGCATAACATAGGAACGGTCAGACTATGGATGGGATCCTAGTCCCTGTCCATCAGTATGAAAAACACAATTAGCGTTCCTACCCCGGTCCCCCCGGCTTGGTCGAGACATTGGCATGGTTGATCTGGACGCACGATGTTGGGTTCGTGTAACTTGTATGCCCCCATCCTGGAGAGCGCGCGCTCCAGGCTTGCTTCCTGACCTGTTGGTCTAGGACGCGGACGGAGCTTTCCATTTCACTGGATCCACTCGTTACAGTAGTTCTGGTGGAGACTTTTGCCCTGTATGACACCTGTTGACAGCATCTCTGCAGGGGCATGATTTGGGCTCCAGAAAGCTGCACATCTTGCTGATATATGGGTACTTGCAGCAACAACGTGTCCGCTATCAGTCTTCGGAATCGACCTTTAGCCTTGGTGGCTCGCCAAGTATCTCAATGGCAGACATTGCTGGGCTCGTGTTGTGCCTATTGTAACCCACGCACGCCACCATGGTAGATTTAGGATCAGGCTAACTCTGCTCCGTGTGTAACACAGGCTTATCGAGTTCGACTTTGCTTATCCGCCTATGATGGCGTGTTGCAAAGCATGGGCTGCCAACTCCTATTCAGCACGGGAAGGTTGAGGCGAATCATGGATCTCGTAGGTATCGCCAGGTATTCACAGTCCAGACTCTGTAGATTTCTCTCCTACCCCAGGACGCCCTTTTCCCAGTAAGGAAACTGCTATTGCAGTGGTTGGGCCTTTGGAAGTCATTTGCGTCACGTCCATACGTAAGAGCGGGCGATATCGGACGATCATCTACCCAGAATAAAGACTACAGCAGCTTCTCATAATTAAAAGGAGGATACACAGAACCAGAGACATTCATGATGAAAAGAGCGTTTATGCAATGCTACCCACCCTCATTTGGACTCTGATCAAACCTCCTCGGTGGAGACTTGAGACCGCCCAGCGGGATCCAATCAAGCTCATGGGCCGTGGCGGAATGGGGTGGGTTGCTCGAGCGAAGGTTCACGGACCAATGCAATCGTTCCTGTAAAAAGGAATCATTGTAGTGTGGGACTGTGGTTGTCTCTAACCAGAAGACGACTGTAGTTGCATCTTCTCGTCTGCTTTGGGTGAATTCGACAGGGATAGTCTACACAGACATACATTGATGGCTCCGTGCATGAATGTACAAGTCTACAGTCTACCCCGCCCATTGGCATCCCAGGAAGAACCGCCGCAAAAGCCTGTCTCTGTTTCTGGGAGTGGAAATGCGCGCTGCCTGGCCCGCAACGTAATCATGGTGGGCTGCAGCCGGAGTTTAGACCGTCTATCCATCTCGTCTGGGTTCACTGCATGGTGACTGTGGATCCAAAACAGGATGGTTAATGGATGGCAAAGCGATAGGTCATTCTTACGGGTCATTGAAAGTTTTTTTTGGGGGGGGGGGGGGGGGGGGGGTGATCCCCAGCCAACCACCATAATAATTTTATGCCCCTCCTCAAAACAGGGGGGTCCAAACACATTACTTATGGTGTGCACTTCATCGACTACATGTGAGTTGGCACTAATAAATAGTGCTTAAGATAATAGTCAAGCC